GACCGTAAGTCTATGCAGAGAGCGGACGCAGGGGCGGATGGTTTTAGCCCGGCCTTGCATGATGAGCCTGACTAATGTCCGGCCGTTGGAATAAGGCGTCCCGCGCCCCGCCCCTGCACGTTAATAGTGTATTTCGACTAACGAAAGAAGAATAGCGGGTAGAACATAAACGTTAACTATTGGACATATTATTACAGCATACCCGCATACGTAGAGAACGAGGTTTCTCCTTTATGTATGAACATGTTTGATGCTCTGTTCTGCTTCTTTGTTTTCTTTCTCTAGTTTTCTGAAATTTACAAAAGACTTACATGTGTTTGTTTTCCTTTCCTTTACTTAGATTTCGATCCAAGATGACTTCTGTGGAAAAGGTTAGAGTGAAAGTGGTACCTCTGGGCAGTTCTGGTGTTGGTAAAACATCGCTGGCAATGAAGTACACTGCAGACGTCTTCTCAAACATGTATATATCAACGGTTGGCCAAGAAACTCAGTTTAAGGAAATCATGGTGGATGACAAGGTTGTTAAAATGGAGGTAAAATCTGAATCAATGGGAGGAGGGAAACGAAATTAAGTAATGTCAAGTTGTATCCCCAACCTAAATATTTCTTTGTAGATTCATGACACTGCTGGGCAAGAGAGATTTAGGGCGGTTACTAGATCGCTTTATCGAGATGTCGATTGCTGTGTGTTAGTTTTTGATGTCACTAATCGAAACAGCTTTGAATCTCTGGACTTTTGGATGAATGAATTTCTTTTGACAAGGTGTCCTGAGGTTCCTGCAGATTTCCCATTTGTTGTTCTGGGTAACAAATGTGAGATGGAGCAAAGATTAGTATGTATATATAAATTTCGACAGAAGAAAAAACTAATATCCTTTTTTTGATTAATAAGTGGTCATAAACTCCCTTGCTAACTATTTTCAGGTAACTAAGAAGGAGGCTATAAGATGGTGCCAAGAAAAATATTGCAATATCAATTACTTTGATGTAAGCGCGAAGGAGGATATAAATCTTGAACTAGCGTTCCAGACTGTTGCCAAGAAAGCATTGAAGCTGAAGTCTGAAGAGATCAAAATACAACCCACCGATGTTTCTCAACGGGTTAAGCTGAAAGATGAAGGACTTAATCAAAGTAAACAGAGCTGGTGGAGCTGGTGGAGCTGGTGGAAGTCGCGTTTCTCGTGGTGTTAATAATATAGGCATTTCCCTAATTCAGTTTTAAAACTGACTGTTATCTGTAATTTTGATCATGCTCCTATGGTTCATGAACTTCAGTAATTTCACTTTGCATGTGTAATTTCCACAAGAAACAAATACAAATTTGTAAATAAAGAAATCTAAACTCTCCGGAAATTACTTTGTTATTTGCTTTTATTTTTTAACTATACAATGTACTTTTATATTTTAACATGCAACCCCGGACAATGAACGTTTCACGAGGCGACGCTAATGGTAGCGCCTGCTGCGCGCTGGGTAGGCCAACCCGCCAGCCAGCTGTGTGGAGCCGGCGGCCCGCCCAGGGCGCCGAAGTGCAGGGGCCCAGGGCCAACCAACGTCCGTCAGGGTCCCCGTCCCCAACGACGAGCAGCATCACGTTTTTACTGTAGGTACAACCTCCCAAAACACCCGATCGAGGATCATATTCTCGAACAACCGCTAAGACTTTCGCCATATGGTGAATTTATGAGGGAAAAGGGGGGGGGGGCAAATCTGGCTGACACCCAGAAAACTTTACTCCCTTTGAATATTGAAATCTCTGGATGGCGTACTAACGTTCACAGGTAAAAAATAACGTCTCAAATCAACTCGTTAAGTTTCTCATTTCCTCGGCCACGGCCCACCACCCATACAGTCAGTGGGGACGTTGGTAGACGGGGAGCTGAGCGCGCTGTCGTGTGTCAGCGGGTAGTGGCCGATGGCTGATCAAAGCCGGCAGCGACACACACGCTCGGCCGCAGGCTCCCCGCCGCTTGCAGCAGCCCTGACGAGTATTTCAGCGGCTGTGTCGCTCGCTGTCGGTGTATCGGCGGCGCTCGTGACGGATATCGTCTCGGGGGGGCCTTGCGCCCCTTGGCGCCGGGCCACTTGCCGCTGCACCGCCGCCGCGCCGAGCTGAGGTGAGCTGGCTGGTTATGACAGCCGGCACCACCACCGGCACCCCGCCGCGATGACAGCCGCCCCCCATTACCGACTTTCATGACCGGGGGAACTGCCGGGCATCACCTGAACTGCCCCGCCGTCTCCATGACGACCACCGAGTGCGTCCCGCCCGCGAGACGCCGCTCCTCGCCAGGACGATCAAGACGTAAAGCCTCTGCGCGCGCCCAAGGACGTTTTAATGCGCGCGAGCGGAAACTCATTTCCGGATGCGTCTTGCCAACGGTCCATCGGCGCCTGCCTCCTCCCCTACACGGGGCGGACAGCCCCCGTTTGCATAATTCTCTCACTTTCTTTTCATCCCGACAGAAACGCCGCGCGGCGCGCAGTTTCAACAGCGTGATGAAGCGGCTGTCGCGGGCATTGTCCGTGTCGCGCTCTGGGCGCCTCTCAGCGACGTGGCGGAGCGTAGCGGAGCTGTCGGCGACCAGGTGTGAATCACGGGCGGGCGGAGGCCAAACTGTTGTCTGGTCGCAACGGAGGCGTCGCGAAGGGCTGCTGCCGCTTCCGCTGCCACTGTCGGGAGTGCCGTGCGCGGACCACGGGCCCGGACAGCACGCCCTCGCCCCCCTCGGGTCCGCAACGACGTGCTCTCGGACGTACCTCTCCTGCCGGGGGCGGCGCCTCGGCTCTGTCCGGCGTTGGGGTTTGCACCGCCGGCGGAGGTCGGCGGCGCGGCCAGCTTCTTGTCCTTCACCGCCATGGCGTCGGCCTGCTGCTGCTGCTGCTGCTGCTGCTGTTGTCACCCGGGACGCTCGCCATCCGACGCCGCTGTGCACACCTCAACAGCACGTGCCCGAACACCAGCAGCAGGAGCGAGCGCCGCGACGCGGGAGGGCAGAGGAGGAGCTGGCCGCCGTCTGCCCTGCTGCTGCCTCGAGCGCGGGAAAAGTAAGTCTGCCGGTGTGCTGCGGGCCAAGCTTCGCCGTGGTCCAAGGCACACCCTCCCCCCTCCCCGGTGGCTGTGTGTGTGTGTGTGAACGTGTGTGTGTTGGTGTGTGTTGATCCTAGGCCTGGCGATGCGTGTAGCTGGCGCTCATAGCAATATCGCGGGGAGAAGGGGAGGGGTTGCACGAATGCATATCTCGCTGACTCACTCACACGCCCTGTCAAACCGACGATGCGGGTTCCGGTTCCGCCGCCTTCCAAAAGTCGTCCCCCGCCGTCGCAGCTTTTGCAAGAGGCGTCTATCGCTGGTTTTTCCTCCCCGCTCAACCCCCACGGCGGTTAACCTCTGTACCGATCATCGCGGGTGGCACGGGGGTACTGCCGCAGCAGCACACTCTGCGGACGTGTCGTGGCGGTTGCGAGACGGCCCCCTCGCGGCGGCGTGGCGCCATGCCTCCGTGGTCGGTGATGAATCGCGCGCAAAATGAGCGATATTTTACGGCTGCGCGGGCCATTTTCGCGCCCCGCCGCCGCCGCTCTGGGGTCGCCCCCCATGGAGGCCGCGGGGGCCTGGTGTGGTGCTGCACACAGGGGGGCGACCTGAAACAAGCGCGAATTTAATTGGAACGGTCGCGGTGATTTACAAACGACTCGCGGCGCCGTGTCCGTGTTCTCGTGTCGCCGCGAGCTGCGGTCGGCGAGGGCGAAAAATGTAGCGTTAGCGACCATGGGGCGCGATATGCAACCTCGTTCTCCTCCTCGTTCTCCTGCGCGTCCTCCTCCTCCTCGTCCTCGTCGTCCCCCTCGTCCTCGTCGTCCTCGCCGTCCTCCTCCTCGCCGTCCTCCTCCTCCTCGTCCTCCTCCTCCTCGTCCTCCTCCTCGTCCTCCTCCTGTCCTGCTCCTCCTGTCCTCCTCCTCGTCCTCCTCCTCGTCCTCCTCCTCGTCCTCGTCCTCCTCCTCGTCCTCCTCCTCGTCCTCCTCCTCGTCCTCCTCCTCGTCCTCGTCCTCCTCCTCCTGCGTGGGTGATGGTGCACAGCGCGGCTGACGAGGGACTAGCTCACCTCTCCCCGCCCCGCTCCGAGGCAGCTCTGGCGCACCTTGGCCCTATGACCTCCTGCCCCGCCGCGCCCGCGCTACTCCTGCGTTGACGGATCCCACGGCTCGCCACCCTTCCTCCTGCACGCTTGCGCGCATCGCCTGTCTGCATCATCGCCCTCCTCACCCTGCGGCCGTGGCCGTATGGCGCCTCACCGAAACTCAAACATCCTAACCTTATTCTGCTTACCACACCCGGGATTTAGCACCCAAACCCAACGTGCTCTGTAGTACACCTTATTCGGCTGACAATCGCAAAGCAGTGCGCGGTACGCAGCAACATTTATTCCAGTTGTTGCTGCTGCGCCCCGCGCAGTTGGACCGCACCGTTTTACACGCGTGCGTGTGGGTTGCCTACTCGCATGGTGAGAGAGGATGCACAAATCCGTACGAAGCGTGTGCACATGCACTGACTAATTGGTGAGCTGATTGAAGACGAGACAAATCGGCCAGTTGAGCATACCGTGGATAGTGTTACTTTCAACACAACCCCCTTAAAGTAAATTCAATGGCGGTGGCCGGTGGCCTGGGAAGAAGTCTCCACCACCTGTGATTTCGTCTGATTAGTGAACGACCCGTATTGAAAGTGGAATATGAATGTCACACGGCGCTCAAAATGTGAACAATGTGACAACCTACACAGGAGAAGTCGCGGCGTGTGGAGGATCTTCCCAGATTATCTGGCCACAGCAGCCGGCGGCGCTTCTGTTTACGTCACTAATACTACTTGTAGCTGCTCGCTAACGTGACGCGCCGTGATGCTTGAAGGAAACCATCACCCGCGCGCCCTACTCTAGCCGCGTCCCGGCAGCCCCCCATCAGCAGTTTGACACGTAAGATATTTCAGACCGACTCTCGATGCCTGCCCCCCCCCCCCCCCCCCGACAACACTGCACAGTGCCCCAATGTCGAGGCCGCACGTGGCGTAACTCTATCACTCCGTTATTTATCCAATCAAAGAGGTTCTATAAATAAATGAAGAGGGGGTTGGGGGGCGGAAGCATCTCCACAGACGCGCCATCCGCGAAAAGCCTCTACAGGAAACATTCATTCGACGCGCGAATTGGGAAAAGTAAATGTTGTCGGAGAGGAGCGCGAGTGGTGCGAGGTATAGCTGCCCCCCCCCCCTCCCCCCTTAGCCAGTATACTGAATATCTGCTCATGGGAGCGGGCAGCACCCTCAGGCTCATGGGCCGGCCCTGCAGACGGGCTGAGACAAGGGCTTCGTTAGTCTATCGTTAGCATCCCTTTCTGCCGCTCCCCCGCAGTGTGGCGGGGGCGGGGGTGGCGCTGCGCTAGTGCTGTGCGAGACAATATTGCTGCTCGAAGCAGCAGCAGAAGCGCAGTGCAGACATAACAAACAACCGGCGATTTTTACGGCATCTCCGGCATGTTCAAGTCTGGCGAGGACGCGGGAGGAGGAGGAAGAGGAGAGAGGTCCGCGGGGAGTGTGGGGGGGGATATGGGGTAAAAGGGGGCAACAGCATCGCGCAAAATGTCTTCAAAACGAAGGAGACGTTATAAATATGAAGCAGTCGAGGAAAATCTGCCACAAATGGAGCGTGCGCCGTAACGACTCCATAACGCATCGCGACGTCCATTGCTTTCCTCGTCGTCCTGTCTGTGTCGGGGAATGGGGAGGAGGGAGGGAGGGAGGGGTGGTTGTCCTCCGCGGGGCAGACGACACTACAAGGCGGAGCAGGGGGAGGGGGAGGGGTAGAGGCGGCATTATGAAGAGAGGGATTCCCTGTTCATGCGAGCGAGTGTACAGCGGGAGGCTGCGGACGTCGCTACGCCCATAAAGAGAGGCAATTTGTCATGAGTGGACCCACCGCCGCGAGAGGCGAGGCATGGCGGGGCTTGCCTCGCGCGGGCGACCCAAACTCTGTCCGTCTGGCCGCGAGGCGCCCCGCCCAGGCGAACATACCCGTGCCCGTGCTCAAGTCGTGTGCCGTCGGCCCTCTGCTCTGCTGCAGCCCTGGAGGGCCGGCGCCCCTGCCCCCCTCCAGCCCTGCAGGGCCGGCGCCCCTCTGCTGCCCTCCTCCAACTGCGGTGCTGACGCGGCCGTCGCGTCCGGCCGCTGCAGTCTACTGATATTTTCACCATACTGTACTACTCACCCGTAAGCCTGTGGACCCTCGCACGCCCCCTATATAGACCCTTACTTTGCCTTCCTTCGCCGCCCCTCCCCCGCGGGCGGGCAAAGACTTCAG